TGCTTTACTGACTATGTCAAAGCCTTTGACTGTGTGGATCACAATAAACTGTGGAAAATTCTGAAAGAGATGGAAATACCAGACCACCTGACCTGCCTCTTGAGAAACCTGTATGCAGGTCAGGAAGCAACAATTAGAACTGGACATGGAACAACAGACTGGTTCCAAATAGGAAAAGGAGTACGTCAAGGTTGTATATTGTCACCCTGCTTATTTAACTTATATGCAGAGTACATCATGAGAAATGCTGGGCTGGAGGAAGCACAAGCTGGAATCAAGATTGCTGGGAAAAATATCAATAACCTCAGATATGCAGATGACACCACCCTTATGGCAGAAAGTGAAGAAGAACTAAAGAGCCTCTTGTTGAAAGTGAAAGACGAGAGTGAAAAAGTTGGCTTAAAACTCAACATTCAGAAAACTAAGATCATGGCATCTAGTCCCATCACTTCATAGTAAATAGATGGGCAAACAGTGGAAATAGTGGCTGACTTTATTTTGGGGGGCTCCAAAATCACTGCAGACTGTGATTGCAGCCACGACATTAAAAGCCGCTTACTCTTTGGAAGAAAAGTTATGACCAACCTAGACAGCATATTAAAAAGCAGAGACATTACTTTGTCAACAAAGGTCTGTCTAATCAAGGCTATGGTTTTTCCAGTAGTCATGTATGGATGTTTGAGTTGGAGTATACAGAAAGCTGAGTGCCAAAGAATTGATGCTTTTGAACTGTGGTGTTGGAAAAGACTCTTGAGAGTCCCTTGGACTGCAAGCAGATCCAACCAGTCCATCCTAGAGGAGATCAGTCCTGGGTGTTCATTGGAGGGACTGATGATGAAACTGAAACTCCAGTACTTTGGCCACCTCATGCGAAGAGTTGACTCATTGGAGAAGACCCTGATGCTGGGAGGGTTTGGGGGCAGGAAGAGAAGGGGACGACAGAGGATGAGATGGTTGGATGGCATCAACGACTCGATGGACATGGGTTTGAGTAAACTCCAGGAGTTGGTGATGGACAGGGAGGCCTGGCGTGCTGTGGTCCATGGGGTCACAAAGAGTCGGACCCAACTGAGCGACTGAATTGAACTGAGAGGGTATTCTGCTAACAGAAATAAATCTGAGAGAGAAGTACAAATAGTGTATGATTTAATTTACATTTGGAATCTTAAAAAAAAGAAATGAATGAACAACAAAACAAAAACATAGTCATAGATAAGGGGAACAAACTGGTGTTTTCCAGAGGAGCCAGAGATGGGGAAAGGAAAGATACAGATGAGGGAGATTAAGAGGTACACATTCCCAGTTGCAAAATGTATGTCAAAGGTATGTAATGTACAGTGTGGGGAATATAGTCAGTAATTTTGTAATATCCTTATATGGTGACACATGATATATAGACTTACTGTGATGATCATTTTGAAATGTAATGGAATATTGATTCACTATGTTGTGTAACAGGAACTAACAGTGCTGTAGATAGTTACACTTAGAAAACAAACTAATAATTGTGGACAAAATAAAGTTATGCATTTTCTGTTAAGTGAACATCTGAACCTAGTTTGTGTCTTGATTAGGAGTATACCTTGCCAAAGATAGCTTATGAATTAGGAGGGATGAGAAATAAAAGTGTATATTTATTAATTCTTGTTAATATCTGTACCTATTCAAAGTTCTTTTTTGAGAAAAAGGTGCTTTTGAGACCATAGAAAATTCAGGTTTCCACCTCCATTTTTTTTTTCATGGAGTTCAAAGTCTATAGTGGAAGATATTCTAAAGTGCCTCATGAATTTTAAATACTTAATGTTATGGAATACCATAAAATAGCCTGTGGGCTTCACTAGAGTACCCATCATGTGCCTCCTCTAGATCCCAGCCTGGCATGTCATGGTGCTCAGTAAATTCTGTTGGCTAAACTGATCAATGCCTTCTTCAAAGAAGTCTTCCTTGAGCTTCCATCTTACACTACAAACAAGAGTAATCCATTTCCAGCATACATATATTGCATTCTACTGTACTGTGAAGCCTGCATTTGTGTGTGTGTATTTTGGGGAGTATTTTTCCATGGATAATTATTAATACCATTAAGAACAATAGCTGTATATAATTTATTTAGTTAACAATGGACTTCATATGGCATCACCGATTCCATGGACATGAACCTGGGCAAACTCTGGGAGATGGCAAGGGACAGGGAGGCCTGAAGTGCTGCAGTCCATAGGGTTGCAAAGAGCGGGACGTGACTTGGTGTCTGAATGCATGGACTTCATGTGCCTCTGTGTTCCTCCTGGCCTATCTCATTGAACATTGTTCCCCGGAGAGGGAGGTGGGAGGGGGGACCGGGATGGGGAATACATGTTTAAAAAAAAAAAAAAAAAAGATACACTATGGTTGTGATAAAAAAAAAAAAAATAAATAAATTAATTAAAAAAAAAATTAATTGAAAAAAAAAAAAAAAACCAGAATGAACCATTTACTTTAGTGGTACGTGGTATCTCTGTACTGTCTTCCTCTCTGATGTTACTACCTTTCTGCCTAGCTATCTCTAGTTAATGCTCTATCCCCTGCCTATTAACAGGAAATGACTTCTCACTACTCATTAATTCTTAAACATAAATTGGCTTTTCCAGCTCTTTGCAGTTTAACCCTTTAGTCATCATTGGGAATGAAAATCTTAGATTCCTCTGTGGAGTTTTCTGGTTAAAATAACACACAAGTTTGGTAAACACATAAAAACCCTTTGTTTATATTCTACAGTTTACCAGGCTCCTGGGCATTATGCTAGCTTGGGATTACATTCCGCCATTAAGAGAATTAGGTAAACAGATGCTGTATGTTCTTTACCACTCTGACTGCCATTTAAATACATACATACATCCCATCCCTCTGGGTCTTCCCAGTGCACCAGCCCCGAGCCCTTGTCTCATACATCCAACCTGGACTGGCGATCTGTTTCACACTTGATAATATACATGTTTCGATGCTATTCTCTCAGATCATCCCACCCTTGCCTTAGGGAGGTGGGGAGGGAGGGTGGCTTCAGGATGGGGAACACATGTAAATCCATGGCTGGTTCATGTCAATGTATGGCAAAAACCACTACAATATGGTAAAGTAATTGGCCTTCAACTATTAAAAATAAATGAAAAATACATACATACATACATACAAACCGTTCAGTCAGCACACAAAATCTCCAGAGATGGACCTGTACATCTGTGCATTAAAAAAATTGCAATGATGTACTCTCATTGTTGAGAATTACTGTCCTAGACCTTTTTGTGTGTGTGTATATGTGGGTGTGTGTGGGGGTGTGTGTGTGTTTATTAGTCATGTCCGACTCTTTGCAACCCCGTGGACTGTAACCTGCCAGGCTCTTCTGTCCATGGAATTCTCCCAGCAAGAATATTGGAGTGGGTTGCCATTCCCTTTGCTGCGGGATCATCCCGATCCAGGGATCGAACCCGAGTGTCCTGTCTTGGTAGGTGGATTCTTTACCACTGAGCCACCAGGGCAGCCTTCCAAAAGGTTCTAAAGCTTTTTAAAATCTTTACTCCCTCTCAACTAAACGTCTCGTATCAGTGTGTTTTCTTCTAATTTTAAATAGGGAAATTGGTGATAGCTGGTGGGCTGGTCTGTGGGGTCACACAGAGTCGGACACGACTGAAGCAACGTAGCAGCAGCAGCAGATAGTGGGTGCTTTTATGAAAAGTATTTTTATTGGTTTGTTTCCTCACCCTTCTAAGTAATATAAACTATTCATATTGGTTATTAATTCATATATATTAGACTGAGGAAGCCCTCAGAATCTTAACTGCATGTCGAAATCACCTGAATCTTTAAATAAGCCAGTGATCAGGTGGCATCGAGCAGGATATCTGGGATTAAGATCAAGGCATCAATAATCCATGCTTTCCAGGTAATTCCGTATGTGGCTAAGGTTGAGACCCTGTGAATCCGACCAGTTATTCTCAACTCTGGCTGCACAGTAGAATCCGCTATGCAACTGTTTAAAATACTGATGCCTTTCATTTCAATTATGGTTCAGATAACTTGTGCATAAGTGTTGAATACAAGACAAAAATGTTTGGGTAACTTATATTTCTGAATGATTGGGCTCCAGTTAAATCAAAGTTTTATTATAGTTCTGGGTTTGTGGTGATGTTCAGTAAATGTTAGATGGAGATCCTAATCCCACAGCAGAGTCAAGGAGAATAAAACATGCTCCCTCTTGGAAATAAACTGTTTGTGTATTTGAAATAATTATCTTGGCAAGCTATCATTTTCTGAAAGTTGTCCTCCTAGGTAATTTACCTCAAATGGTAAGCCTTGTACTTTAAGAGAATACTATATTTCAACTCTATTTTTCAGCATAATATTAGGTACCTATATATCTTATAGTACTTTCATGATTCTCCCCAAGAAAGTAGACAGGAAACAAGATTAAGAGATGGAGGATAAGATTTAAACCAGTTTCCCTCTTAGAAGCATAAATGATGCTATTGCACTTCTGGGCCTGGAGAATGCTGGTTTGTAAAATAGAGCCATGGTACGTTAAGATGGTGAATTATTTACATACGCAAAGGACAACTAATGCCGTTAGCTAAAACAGAAATGAACTAACTGTTCAATAAAACAGTTATGGCACTAGCAAAATATTTATATGTGATATCTTTTTCAGATTGCGGGAACTAGTAACTAAAAATAACAAAAAATCATTTTTTTTTTAGCATGAAGTTATAGATGATCTACTATGGGATAAATGCTCATCAAGCAAACCTCTCAAATTTAATTGTTATCAATAATTAATCAGCAAATTGCATGCTTCAGTGTACATTAACTATAGCAGGTGTTGGATTTAATTCCTCAAATATAAATTAGGGAAGCAAACCACATTTTTCTTAAATGTTTGTGGTTGAAAATAAAAAACATATATATAAAGCTTATTTAATTTGACCTTCCCACTTCTTACTCAGTTTTCCTACTTCTTTTTTCCTTTTTAGGACCACCTCAGAAAACAGTGTCACCTAAACAAGAACACGAAGACAGGAAGCACGACAAAGTCGCGGATAAAGGAAGCGAGAGTGGGACTTCCTGTAATGAGCTCTCCACTTCCAGTTGCGACAGCCACTCGGAGGCGAGCACGCCCCAGGACAACCCACCCGGTGCCCAGCAGGCGGCCGCTCACCAACCCAACACCTTGACTTTGGATCGTCCTTCCAAAAAAGCGCCTGTGCAGTGGATGCCCCCACCAGACAAACGCAGAAACAGCGAACTCTTTCAGACGCTCATCAGCAAGTCCCGGGAAACCAATCTCTCCAAAAAGAAAGTCTGCGAGAAGCTAAGTGTGGAAGAAGAAATGAAAAAGTGTATTCAGGATTTTAAAAAAATCCACATTCCAGATTACTTTCCAGAGCGCAAACGCCAGTGGCAGTCTGAACTGTTACAGAAGTATGGGTTATAGTGACGATCACAGTCCCGCAGTATTTCAGTGACCTTCAGTGTTCACCCGTGTTGCCGCCCGACTGTGTGCTAACAGCGGTCAGCGTGATTCTTGCTGCTCTTCCTTTTTGTGAACAGTGGATGTGGGACAGTATTTTTTTTCATTCTTTCTGTTGTTGTTGTTTTTAGAAATATTTAAAAAAAGAAAACTAATAAATATTTAATCAAATGGTGTTCCTGACTCAAAAAATTTTGCAAGAATGAAAGTAAAATATGCATGATCAAGAAGCTTAGAATCTTGATTCTTGAACTGTGGTCAACTGGCTATGTTTGTCATTTTGTAACTCACCAAAAACAAATCATCATATCACTCCAAATAAAGTGACAGTATGGATGAAGCAACATCAAGTAAAATGTTAGATGATGGTTTTGGGACCCAAATCCAAAACTGTTTAAATGTTAATGCAATAAAACAAGTATTATTTTTGCATGAGCACAATATTGCAGATAAATCACAAGACATAGGAAGATCTGTTTGTTGCTTGGAAAGAAATAATTATGAAAAAATAGCAAAAAAAAAATATGGTTCAGACAAAGCCTATAAATGTAAGCTAAGAGATTGAATTTTATTTGTTCTGGATCTGTGATTTTTTTGTGTATGTGTATGGTGTTCTGTATGTTAAGATGGTGTAAATATGCCTTATGATCTTGTGTTATGGCACTGACATTCATCTATTAATGCTAGTTATGATTATTTCTGTGAAATGAGTCCTTACATCAGGCTGTGAAAATTGGCATAATGATTCTCTGAAAGATCTTACTCTCATGTTAATCACAATAATTGAGGGAAATGGTGAAGAGCTTTATGTATTTATTAAAAAAGGAAATATATATTAGAATGTCTTGATCTCTACTGACTCTTCTTTTAAAATATTCAGTTGCTACATTGTCTTCAGTTTTCCTTTAAAATTCCAATGGAGAATGATATGTTCAAACTTAATGTTGACAAGTTAGAGACTTATAATTCAAAATGGAGGTAGAGTCAAATTCAGATAGCTTTGGTATTGATTAATAAACCCTTAGCCTGCAAGAGAAAAAGATTTCATCTGAGGGTGCACTAAAATTTTATTTTAGCTGACAACTGGATTGAAAGCCTCCCTAAATACAGTTGTGAAGTTGCTGCTTGCAAATTATGGGACAAAAATGTCAACAGGAAGCTAGAAGTTCAGCCTGAATGACAAGAGCTTTCTTCCTGATTGCCTATTTGAAAATAATCTTTCTTATCATAAGCCACACAATTTTTGCCTCACCATGTCCACAGAAAAAAATATATGATATCCCAAAATTTCGCTAAAGAATAGGCACCAGGAGGACAAAATTATCTCTCATAATCAGAGCTCAATCTCCTCTGTGGTTAGTTGAAATAAAAATTGAGCAGCACTTGTAGTATCATTTCTTCAAGGGTACTATTGGAAGATAAGCATTATTAACTGAAAATTTAAAACTGATGTTCATTTTTGGATGTGGTTTTAGATTTCTCACTCCTCTATTATATAAAATACCATTCACAGTGAACTCTTAAAGAAAACCCAAATGCATGATTTGCCTTGAATAACCTATCAGGTTTTAGTGAAAGAGCTACTCTTAAATTCTGCATTTCATTTTGGGAAGGTTGGCAGTCCCACCCACTAAGTTGGCTAAGTGTAGCTGCAACACACTGGTTAAGTGGACAGAGCTTATGGTTAGGTTGTTATTATTCAAATCCCATCTCTACCACTACCACTAATGGGACCTTAGGGATAGCAGGGATATTCATAACATGACAGAGAATATTTAAATGAGGCAATTGAAGTAAAGCATTGCCCCCACTCCTGGGGATGAAGGAGAAGAACAGGTAGTGGGCTTACCGGAACCTTTGGAACCAGCACCGTCAGATGGAAAATTTCTAATAGAGAGGAATAAGCTGTTCAATAAGAACTACAATCTCTAATGAGTCATGGTCACTTCCAAAGATGCCTCCCAAAGCAAGACAAAGGGGACAGGTTATCCTAGCTTCCCACATTTCAATTCCTACCAACACTTTCCATTTTCGAACATGAGTACAAGCAGTTGGTAAATGAGCTTTGAAATGCATTTCAGTAGAGGTGATCCCACTGTGATAGAAAGCCCAGAACTGAAGGGCAGAGAGTAGATATGAAGAATACCTCACACCCTCCTCTATTATTTCCAACACAAAATTTCAAATAGAATTGCAGTGGTAAGAATCTGGTAAATGAGAACTATTTCAGATCTTCATATCTCTACCACAAAAGACGTGATTCCCATAAGATTGCCTACCCTTAAAGTCCTTCTTAGAAAATTAGATCCTACTTCCTTAATAGTCTATTGAACACCAAGAATTTGGCTCAAAGGTTAATAACATACTCAAGAAATACAAATTACTAGCCATTTCCCTTGGGAAGAAGCTTATGGTCTGATTCTCCCATACTATTATGCTTTCACCAGAGACTAGTTCCTGTCTTGTCCCAATTGGGGCTACAAGAGGATCAAGGGAGGAAGCTAGAATGAAAACTCTTCTTTGAGAAAAAGGAGACTTCAGAAGTTAAAGATGGCTTAGACTAAAGCTACTACGTAAAACTTTACCAAAATATCAGTAGATAAAATCTAGAAGGTTGCCAAAAGTCAGAAAACCTGGAAGCAGGCACTGAATTTGAATATTTTTAGAGAATAAATGCATTTTGATGCTCATATGATGTTCCTTTGACACTCAAATGGTATGAAAAAATACTGTTTGATATACAGGATTTACTTAACTTGTGACCTGATGTTTCATTATTAAACTGGAAACATATTGAGTATTAACTGAGATGAGAGAAGAAAACACAAGTGAAATTGTGAGATTTTCAATTTTGAGTAGATATACTTTCCCTATTTTTTTCACTCAGTATACCCAAAAACCCTAGACATTATATGTGAACACTCTTAAGAGACTCTGAAAGGCTGATAAAAGAGGGAAAGCTGACTAGAGGCGTTAGGGCCCAAAGAACAGCATATTGTTGGAGTTTCTTGGGTTTTCTTTTTGCCTATTTATAGCTGAAGAAGCTGGAATACAGAAAAACTAACAGGTGCGGGGAAAAAAAAGCATCAGCAAAAGCCTGCTTTCTCTAACCAAAAGGACAGAGAAGGTGCAACCCAGCAGTTAGGTAATAATGGCTGTCCTGTGTTAGGTTGGTGGACACAATTTTATTGCATAATCATTTTAAGGCTTGGTTCACAGCAAAATTGAGAGGAAGGTACTGAAATTTCCCACGTATTCCTTACCCTCTAAAATGAATAGCTTCCTCCAATATCAACATCCCTCACCAGATGGGTACATTGTTATAATTGATGAACATACATTGGTGCATCATTCTCACCCAAAGTCCATAGTTTATATTATTATTCACTCTTGATATTTTACATTCTATGAGCTCAGATAAATGCATAATGACACACATCCATCATTACAGTACCATAGAGAGTATTTTCTCTTTACCCTAATCCTTCATGTTCTGCTTGTTCATTTTTCACCCCTCACTCAACCACTGGAAACTGTCGTTCTTTTTACATGTGCATGCTGTTGTCTTTTTCAGAAGATTATACAGTTGGAATCATGCTGTACATAGTCTTCCCAGATTGGCTTCTTTCGCTTAGTGTGCATTTAAGGCTCTCCCACGTCTTGTCATTGCTTGACGCCTCTCCCTCTCTCTCTTTTAGTGCTGAATAATATCTCCTTGTCTGGGTTTACCACAGTTTATTAATCATTCATCTACTAAAGGGCAACTTGGTTCCTTCGAAGTTATGGCAACTATGAATAAAGTTCATATGTTATCTTCTAGGAGATTTATAGTTTTGCATTCTGCATTCAGGTCTGTGACCAATTTTGAATTAATATTCATTATGGGTGTAAGGTCTGTGTTCAGATTCATTTTTTGCAATGTGGACACCTAGTTGTTTTAGGACCATTTGCTCCACTGTGTTGCCTTTTCTTTTTTGTCAGAGATCAGTTGACTATATTTATATGGGTCTGTTTAGGGGCATCTATATTTTATTTAACTGATATTTTTCTTTTTTTTTTAATGAAGATCACATTTTCTTAATTACTGTAGCCTCTGTGCTAAATCTTGAAGGTGGACAGCATCAGTCCTCTAACGTTATTCTCTGTTAGTATTGTATTGGCTATTTTCAGTCTTTTCCCTCTTCCTATAAACTTTATAACCAGTTTGTTTATATCCACAAAAATAGTTACTGAGATTTTTATTGAAATTGCATTGAATATATAGATCAAGTTGAGAACTGACATCTTGAGAATACTGAGTCTTACTATTCATGGACATGGAATATATCTCCATTTATTTTGTTATTAGTTGATTCAATTCATCAGAGTTTTGTAGTTTTCTTTATATGGAGCTTATAAATATTTGTTAGATTTATTCCTAAACGTTTCATTTTAGGGAGTGCTAATGTTAATAGAATTCCAGTTGAGCTATTTCAAATCCTGAAAGATGATGCTATGAAAGTGCTGCACTCAATATGCCAGCAAATTTGGAAAACTCAGCAGTGGCCACAGGACTGGAAAAGGTCAGTTTTCATTCCAATCCCAAAGAAAGGCAATGCCAAAGAATGCTCAAACTACCACACAATTGCACACATCTCACATGCTAATGAAGTAATGCTCAAAATTCTCCAAGCCAGGCTTCAGTAATACGTGAACTGTGAACTTTCAGATGTTCAAGCTGGTTTTATAAAAGGCAGAGGAACCAGAGATCAAATTGCCAACATCTGCTGAATCATCGAAAAAGCAAGAGAGTTCCAGAAAAACACCTATTTCTGCTTTATTGACTATGGCAAAGCCTTTGACTGTGTGGGTCACAATAAACTGTGGAAAATTCTGAAAGAGATGGGAATACCAGACCACCTGACCTGCCTCTTGAGAAACCTGTATGCAGGTCAGGAAGCAACAGTTAGAACTGGACATGGAAC